CAAATACTAACTTAATCATTAAACTTTGAAGACATCACCAACTTAATCCTTGAATTTTGATTATAAATACCTATTTGATTTTTCAATTTTAATTATATGTCAATTTGATATATAAATGAAAATAGATCATGATAACAAAATTTAACTATTTAGTTTTATATGTCATTAGTATTTTAAAAAAAGAACTAATTTTATAATAAAATAAAGTGTAATGTGACATTTCTGTTAACGAAAAAAACTATTTTAGTGTTAAAAATGAAAGTTTATGAATAATATTGATATTTTATTAAAGTTAAATGATAATTTTAATATAAAACTAAAAGTTGATTGAACGAATTAATATTTTAATCAAATTAAAACGATGCATTGATGGTTGTGGAGGCTTCCACTAGGTTGAATCTAAGCCAACTTGCGAACCATACAAGTGTATGTGGGCCTCAAAAAACCATTAAAGCACAATATAGGCCGGCTGCAACACCATCATCATTTTTGGTTTCCACAGTACACTTTTTGTGTGTATATAATTGTCCTCATGCATGCATCACCATTTGCATGTCACTATTGTAGTACATCTCCATCCATATAAATTCTCTTTGCTCTTCATTTTCACACCCAAAATTAAGCAACCAAAAAAATTAGAAAAAGAAAGAAAATTATAAAGCCGAAATGACAAAAAAATAAAGTGATCGAGTCCACAGGGACAAAGAAAGTTGTTATAAGATTGTTACTTATTATTATTATTATTATTATTAGATTTTGAATTACATAAATGAAAAATAATTTTTTTTATTTTTAATTTATTTTATTTGTAATGTGATATAATTTAAACTCAAAACTTCTTTCTTTTAGAAAAGAGTTTATTATTAATCTATTTAGGTCATTGACTTGTATAATTGTTATTAGACTTTGCACTAAACAAATTTATTACTTAGTGTGTGTTTGGTTTGATTAATTTTATCATTTTATAATTTTTTAAATAATTAATTCAAATATAGGAGTTTTTCTAAATCTGTGTTTTGATGTGTTATATTAATAACAATTTTTTACAATTAATTTGTATACAAAAATA